GTCTCTGTGTGTTTCTGTGTCTCTGTGTGTTTCCATGTCTCTGTGTGTTTCCATGTCTCTTTGTGTTTCCATGTCTCTGTGTGTTTCCATGTCTCTGTGTGTTTCCATGTCTCTGTGTGTTTCCATGTCTCTCTGTGTTTCCATGTCTCTGTGTGTTTCCATGTCTCTTTGTGTTTCCATGTCTCTGTGTGTTTCCATGTCTCTGTGTGTTTCTGTGTCTCTGTGTGTTTCCATGTCTCTGTGTTTCCATGTCTCTGTGTGTTTCCATGTCTCTGTGTGTTTCCATGTCTCTGTGTGTTTCCATGTCTCTGTGTGTTTCCATGTCTCTGTGTGTTTCCATGTCTCTGTGTGTTTCCGTGTCTCTGTGTTTCCATGTCTCTGTGTGTTTCCGTGTCTCTGTGTTTCCATGTCTCTGTGTGTTTCCATGTCTCTGTGTGTTTCCATGTCTCTGTGTGTTTCCATGTCTCTGTGTGTTTCCGTGTCTCTGTGTTTCCATGTCTCTGTGTGTTTCCATGTCTCTGTGTTTCCGTGTCTCTGTGTTTCCATGTCTCTGTGTGTTTCCGTGTCTCTGTGTTTCCATGTCTCTGTGTGTTTCCGTGTCTCTGTGTTTCCATGTCTCTGTGTGTTTCCGTGTCTCTGTGTTTCCGTGTCTCTGTGTTTCCATGTCTCTGTGTGTTTCCGTGTCTCTGTGTTTCCATGTCTCTGTGTGTTTCCGTGTCTCTGTGTGTTTCCATGTCTCTGTGTGTTTCCGTGTCTCTGTGTTTCCATGTCTCTGTGTGTTTCCGTGTCTCTGTGTTTCCATGTCTCTGTGTGTTTCCGTGTCTCTGTGTGTTTCCATGTCTCTGTGTGTTTCCGTGTCTCTGTGTTTCCATGTCTCTGTGTGTTTCCGTGTCTCTGTGTTGACATGTCTCTGTGTTTCCGTGTCTCTGTGTTTCCATGTCTCTGTGTGTGTCTCTGTGTTTCCTGTCTCTGTGTTTCCGTGTCTCTGTGTGTTTCCGTGTCTCTGTGTTTCCATGTCTCTGTGTGTTTCCGTGTCTCTGTGTTTCCGTGTCTCTGTGTGTTTCCGTGTCTCTGTGTTTCCGTGTCTCTGTGTTTCCATGTCTCTGTGTGTTTCCGTGTCTCTGTGTTTCCATGTCTCTGTGTTTCCGTGTCTCTGTGTTTCCATGTCTCTGTGTTTCCGTGTCTCTGTGTTTCCATGTCTCTGTGTTTCCGTGTCTCTGTGTTTCCATGTCTCTGTGTGTTTCCGTGTCTCTGTGTTGACATGTCTCTGTTTATGGTGACCTCTGCTGTGATGACACTGCCTGACGCTGACCTTTCACAGATACACAAACTTACATTGTTTTTCTCTCCTTCATTTCCCAGATATTCCGAAGAGCTGATAAAAATGGTGAGTGCCTCTACAAGCCTCATTTCACCGCAATATGATAAATGTCAGGCCGAAAATACAGAAGATAATCAAATATAATATAGAAAGTACAGAGGAGAACTGAGAAAGGAAATAAGAGGGGAAAGAGATTGTATGAGAAAAGATTAGTGGGAACATAAAGGGGAACCCTAAGGTATTTTATAAGCATATAAAGAATAAAAGATTAGTCAAAGGTCGGGCGGGTCCAATTAGGGACCAAAGAGGAAATCTTCTTGTGGAGGCAGAGGCTGACATACTGAATGAGGACTTTGCATCTGTCTTCACAAAAGAAGAGGATGGAGCCAATGCCACAATCTTTCAATCCTCCTTGGACACCGCGGTGGTGCCAGAGGACTGGAGAGTTGCAAACGTTACTCCCTGTACAAAAAGGGTAGAAGGATAAACCCGGGATCCACAGGCCAGTCAGCCTAACGCTAGTAGTGGGGTAACGTATGGGTTAATAAAGGACACCCAACACGGATTTGTTGAAGGCAAATCCTGTAGCTCAGTGGTTAGAGCACTCGCTTTGCAAGTGAGAGACCTGAGTTCAATTCCAGGCAGAGGGCGAAACCTTGGGCAAGTTTCCTTACTCCACACAGAGCCTAATAATAATCCCTCCAAGAAAACCAAAAAAAAAAAACAATACTTAAATTGGTCATTTTCAATCTACGACTGTTTGTGGGACATTGCTGTGCGCAATTGGCTGCCGCGTTCACCCACAAATATACAGTCAATTCACTTTACAGTCTGTTCTGTGAAGCGCTTTGGGACGTCCTCCCAACGTGAAAAGCGCTATATCAAATGCAAGGATTATTATTATTATTATAAATCAAGTCTAACAAACCTGATAGTTTTTTGATGAAGTGACGGAGAGAGTGGATGAAGATAGTGCAGTTGATGTAGTTTATGTGGATTTTCAAAAGGCTTTTGATAAAATGCCACATAATAGATTTGTTAGAAAAATGTCTGTGGGTAAACAGGGAGATACTGTTTCAGTGACAGGTGGGTCGGTAACCAGAGGACACAGATTTGAAATAGTTGCCAAAAGAAACAGAGGGAAGGTGAGGAGAATTTTTTTCACACGGCAGGTTGTTCAAACCTGGAACAAATTGTCTGAAAGGCTGGTGGAAGCCGATTCGATAACAACTTTTAAGAGACAAGTACATAGACATTTCCGGAGGACAAATTTGCAGGGCTATGGGGAGAGAGCGGGGGAGTGCGACTAATTTGGACAGCTCTTTCAAAGAGCAGGACACGATGGGCCGAATGGCCTCCTTCTGTGCTGTATAATTCCCTGATTCTATGATTCTAAGCCTGTTACTGTAGCCCGCACTGTGTGTTCCTGTTTGCTGCTAACCCCACATGGACCCAGTGACCGGACCAGCCATGTTCCTGCTCCTGGTCCCTCTTCTGGTTGTGTGTGTGCATGTGTGTATGTGCGTACATGTGTATGTGCACGTATGTGCGTGTATGTGGGTGTGACAGCTGGGTGGGGAGAGGTCAGGCTGACCTGTGATGCCCTCTACGATTAAGTGATGAATCCACTCCTCCAGTCAAAGGTGCTACATGGAACTCTGCCGATGTCCCACCTCCCCATCCCCACCCCTCCCCAAACACACACAGGACACACAGCGTTCTTCCCGGGTGATCCAGGAGTGGCCCTCAATGCTGCTGGGCTAGAGAGAGGAACAATGATAGGGGGGGGGTCAGACAATGGTGGGAGCTTAACCCCCCCCACCCCTCTCTATCTGACGCCCCCACAGTCTGAGCCCCTGGGGGTGAGTGGGGGGTGGGGGGGAACATACTGAGTGTGTGTCGTGTGGTGGTGGGTCCTATGCTGACGTGTGTGCCCTGGGGATAGACAGGTGAAGGACCTGGAGACTAAGAGCGTTGGTTTCCATGACGATCGTGCTTATTCATGCTCTGTGAAGCTCTCCCGCAGAGCGCAGAGGTGCTGGATGTGGATTGCGTGTGTGTGTAAGCAGCAAACTCAGTCAGTGTTGGTGGGTGGGTGGTGTTCTCTGTCTGTCCTCCCATCCTGCACTGGCACCAAGTAACTGCTCCAAAATAGCATCAACCAAGTGGTTCCTGAGTCAGTCAGGTCCACAGTATTCCAGGGAACTCACTGCTGATAACAGCCCAGCCTGGCCCATCAGCAGGACCTGTGGGCCAACCAGTCCCCGAGGGCCAGGGAGTCATCCCACTCAGCTTCCTGAGTGTTTCGCCCCCTGTCCCCCTGCACTACCCTCAGTTACACATTGAGTCACACAGAGGCTTCCTGATACACTGGACTCTGCAATAGCTAATGGCTGTGCCACCAGGGGGAACCACTGTCCTGGGTTTGATGCTTCTGTGTTCATTTCGGGCCAAATTGGTAACTGGGGAGTTACAGTGGCAGGTTTGGTGCTGAGGGTGGTGTGTGGAGTTTGTGCCCATCGAGGTGGGGTATATCATAGAATCATAGACTTATACAGCACAGAAGGAGGCCATTCGGCCCATTGTGTCTGTGTCGGCTCTTTGAAAAGAGCTTCCAAATCAACCCCACTCCCCCACTCTCTCCCCATAGCCCTGATCAACCCCACTCCCCCGCTCTCTCCCCATAGCCCTGATCAACCCCACTCCCCCGCTCTCTCCCCATAGCCCTGATCAACCCCACTCCCCCGCTCTCTCCCCATAGCCCTGATCAACCCCACTCTCTCCCCATAGCCCTGCAAACTTGTCCTCCCAAAATAATTATCTAGATATCAGCCATGGGACGCAAGTAGCTCAGAGAGGGTGACACCACTAACTACGCCAATCACTATATAGCTCAGTGGTTAGAGCCCTCGCCTCGCAAGCGAGGACTTGGGTTTGATTCCCGGGCAGGGCGAAACCTTGGGCAAGTTTCCTTACTCCGCACACAAGCCTCTGTTTACTCAGCAGTAAGTAGGAACCTGGTTGTTAGTCAATTGGCGGATTGCTTTCCAGGGGTAATAATCTCTTAAAAAATATAATAATTCGATCACTCAATCCACAACTGTGGTGGGACGCTGCTGTGCACTATTGGCTGCCAGGTTTCACCCACAAAACATATGTTTTACAATGCATTCTGTGAAGCGCTTTCAGAAGTCTCAAAGTCATAATAAGGCGCTATATCAAACGCAAGGATTATTATTTATTATTATTAGCTGTGGCTCGTCACTTCCTTTGAAGTGTAGTGACTGTTAAGTAGCAAATCGCGGCGGCTGATCAACGCCAGTAAAAATGCCATTAACATTAAGGAGTTAAATGTAAGGAGTCATCCATTGTTTGGTGAGAGAGGACGTGGAACACTGGCGTGAAGGGCGTTATATAAATGCAAGTTGCTGTTGTTACCTTTCATTGATTTCTCCAAATATTCTCCCATCACAAGGCATCTTGCTCTCACGTGCGTTATCATGTTCTCGCCCTGCCCCGCACCCACACTAGCCCCCACACCATGCCCTCACCTCCTCGCCCTACTGGGCTTTCTCTCTCGCATATGCACACGGACACACAAACACACACGCACACAAACACGGACGCACATTCACCCAGATTGGCACAATGTATCTCTCCACTGGCAACCAGCAAAGCAGCACAACACCTGGGCAGCCTGGTTAAAAAACAGCCGGGCACAAAGCAAGTGGGTGGAGGAGTGGGATGTGAGCAGGTCGGAGAGGTAGGGAGTGATTTTAACACGAGTGTTAGGATCTTGTAATCCCATTCTGCAATAGTGATAGGGAGGTGCCAGACCTGAAGTGCTTGGGAAGGGCTGGGGTGATGGAGGTACAGAGTTGGTGCGGGTGAGGATATGGGCGGTAGAGTGAATTAATTGGATTTTATGAACGGTGGAGCTGGGGAGACCGGTGAGGAGGGCAACAGAGAAAAGTGGGAGGTGACGAAAATGAGGACGAGGGTTTCGGCTAAGTTGGAGGTGAGGTATGGTCAGAGGCGGGCAATGTGGCAGAGGTGGAGGAACGTGGTTCTGGTCAGGGTCCAGATGTGGGGGAGAAAGGACAGCTAGGGATCAAACCTGATGGCTAGATTGCGCACAAGTTCAGGTTGTCAACATTCAACTGCAAAAAGTTAGCGCTCATCCAGGCTGTTATGCTGTTAACCGATAGCTCTGGTGTCTTTAAAGGAACCTGATACATCAGTTGCTGGTCTGCTACAGATCGATAAATCACATGTGGATTTAGAATAGTACAAGCACCTTTGAGAGCTGCAACTGATCTCTCCTCATCAGAGGGAGTTTTGTAGCCCCCCAACCTGCCCCCACTCCTTGCCCCAACCACTCCTTGCCCCGCTCACCCCACCCTGCTTGGCCAACCCTGCATTTACATTCCTAGCAAATTCACCCCTCTTTTGTATTGGTGGGCTGTGATCCAGAGCGCTGAGATAATGGGAAAACACTGTTTGTGTTTCTGCTGCATTTGCAATCAGTGTTTTGAGTGGGTGTCAGGTCTCGTCTCTGAGTCAGAAGGTTGTGGATTCGAGCCCCTTGTAGGAGACTTTGAGCACCCACTCTAGCTGACGCTCCAATGCAGGGCTGCTTTGTCGGAGGCTGCCATCCTTTGGATGAGACTTCAAACCAAGGTCCCGTCTGCATGTTCAGGTGGATGTTAAATCCTTGACACTGTTGAAAAAGGAAAGGGAATTTCTCCCGGTGTCCTGGCCAACAATGTCTCAGATTAATGGCTCGTTCACTTCATGGCTGTTTATTGTGTGCAAATGCTGTGGCAGTTGCTTTACTACAGTTGTAATAAAACAATAATCTTTGCATTTGATATGGTGCCTTTCTCGTCAGGAAGACGTCTTAAACTGCTTCATAGAATTTAGTGTAAAATGTATTTTGGAGGTGAAAGCAGCAGGCAATTTGCGCACAGCAATGTCCCACAAGCAGTGTGATGTGAATGACCAATTTTATCCTGACAGAGATTACTGTAAAGCGTGTTAGATGGGATGAGCTTGTATAAGAATGG